ATTCTATTTTAACGCTTTGATTACTAAGGACTAGTAATAAGCTGGTTAGGGGATGTGATTAGTACTTAAAAGTATATTTTTATCAAGGTTTTATATCATTTTGCACTTAAAGTATCAATAACTCAACTAAAACATGTTTTATAATTACATATCTAATAATATAAGATACCTTTAATTTATGATAAATATTTATTTTAAATATAGGCCTCTTATATAAATAAAAAGATTAATTGATGAGTTTAAGAACTGAAATTGAAAGGACAAAGAGATGGCCAAACTTAGAAAAGAGATGTTGGTGCAGTTCAAATTGGAACACTATTCGGTAATTGAGTTATATCTCGAGCTATAGATTTTGGATTTAGGTCTACTTTACATGGATGAAAAGGTAAGACATAAGCCTACAACTTTCATATGGAGTCCAAGATTTAAAAAGGCCATTTCCAAGTCCAAATTATAGCAACAACAAAGAAGTCTGAATCTGTCCTACAGCCCAAACATTGTTTAGTGTTTGGACCATATCTGAAGTTCTAGAAGTCCAAATGACTCTATTTTTTTTTCTGAAAAGCTGAGACAATTTCCTACAGCTTTCATGTTTTCAAGTGGTTCCAATTCTGATGTTATCAATGATGTTTTGGGCAGACAAGAGAAAATAAGGATTGTCACCAAGTAAAGAGTTGGCCACCCACTCATCAATTAGTCATCAATTCAATAGTTTCTAATTTTGGCCTGTAAAAGAGGCATTTGCCATGTATTTAGGCATCTTGGTTTCCAGATTAAGATCATGTTTTTCTTTTCTCTCTTTGTATTTTTTATATTGCTTATGTTTTGCTTTCATTAATATCAAGTTTATGTTTTACATTTCTTTTCTTTTACTTAGTTAACTTTTATCTTATTTATGTTCTTATTTTGTTTATTTATTTTTCTTTCTTTCATTATGTTTAGCTAAGTTTATTATGTCAAGGTGAAAAGGTTACACTAATGGTGTAAGAATAAGTATAATATAAACTCAATATGGACTTTAATGTTTGATACTATCATGTTTTATATTTGTTATCTTGTTCACTCTTTAATATTTTGCTTGTTAAATGACTAATCTAGATTTATGTTGTATAACACTGGGTACAACAAATGCTTGGCACTTTCATAGCCCATACTGTATGGTATAACCGACACCTGAGCTATGAAAGGAACTTAATTTGTTGTTAACATAAGTTATAATCATAAATTCCTGATGAGATTTACAAGTATTAGCATTAATCGAATAAGATGACTAATGCAATCATGTTAACAATTTATAATCTGATTGGAATCTCCTTTATGTGTGGTTTTCAATTGCATAATAAGAGTTTATAATATACTTGTTTGACATACCATTAGTGGATCCTCTAACCTTGATATTTATTGTTATCATTGTTTAATCCTTACGTTAATCTTTCATCGCAAAGTTCTTATCAACTTTTTCTTCTTCTTTTTCTTTATTATTATTATTATTATTATTATTATTGTTACTATTGTTGTTGTTATTGTTGTTATTGTATTATTATTATTTATAATTTATACAATTAACCTCCCTATAGTTCAACCCCGGTCTTGATAGGTTATTTATTATTTTGACACTCCTACACTTGGAAGAAGACATCAATTTTTTATCGTGTCAAGATGTCTGGTTCAAATTGTGATGTTATCAATGATGTTTTTTTGCAGATAAAAAGATAAGAATTGTCACCGAGTCAAGAGTTGGCCAGCCATACAACAATTAGTCATCAAATCAATAGTTCCTAATTTTGGCCTATAAATGGAGGCATTTGCCATGCATTTAGGCATCTTTGTTTCTAGATCAAGATCATGCTCTTGCTTTCTCTCTTTGTATTTTTGTAATACTTAAGTTTTACTTTCATTAATATTTTGTTTATGCCTTTCATTACCTTTCCTTTACTTAGTTAACTTTTATTTTATTTATGTTCTTATCTTGTTTATTTATGTTTCTCTCTTTCATTATGTTTAGCTAAGTTTATTACGTCAAGGTGAAAAAGTTAGACTAATGGTGTAAGAATAAGTATAGTTTAAACTTAACATGAACTTTAATGTTTGATACTAACATGTTTTGTATTTGTTATCTTGTTCACTCT